TTAAAGTCAAATTAATATATTAACTCTGTGTACCAACATGAATAAACCAAAACCTACTAAAAACCTATAACCTATATTTTTGCATTTACATACTTTTCATTCCATTACATACATTGTGCCAGTAACCCTCACAACAGAATTGGCTTACAGTACATAAAAAATATTTATAATAATAATAATAATAATTTTTTTTTAGTCAGTTATAGTTGTTAACAAGCTATGATAGTGAATGGACACCTGGCACTCTCTGCCTGTACTTCACTGCACCATTATAACCTTATGTCTTCCTGCCTGGCTTCTTTGTTCCTCCAGAGAGTTCGAAGCCTTCTAAGAGTTCAACTCCGGTTCTTTCCAAGCAGTCAGCCAGGTGGCAGGTCTCCAAGGAGCTCTACCAAACTGAAAGCAACTATGTAGACATTTTAAGCACCATCCTACAGGTAAGTGTGTGTCTGTGTTCACATGGTGTGCACAGTTCTAATATTCCCCCTCAGGTCAACCTGTGTGTTGTCCCTGGCGACAGTTTGAGGCTAAACTATAATCATTAAAGGTTTGTGTGTGTGTGTGTATGTGTATGTGTATGTGTATGTGTATTTGCAAGCTGCAACTTGGCCTGTCTTATCAGTTGGTCCCAGCAGAGAGTCAGACAGCTGACCAGTGAGGGAGAAAATGACCTGCCTGACCATTTCTCTCTCTGTCTCTGCTTGAGAATCTTTTACTCTTTTTTTTTCTTCTTTTTTTTCTTTTTTGGATTTCCTCCATTTTGATGTTGCTTACTTTCAGGTTGCTTCTGTGGCTCTTCCACTGTGATTTTTTTTATCGAAGAAAAACACAGCAGAAACTGACTCCATTATCCAGAGATTCAGAATTTCATGTATGCCTAAAAAAAGATGTAGTGCTGTTTATTACGGCATGTTTCATTGTTGGGTCATGTTTCTTTTTCTTTAGTATTTATAGACACAGGGAATTACTAAAGCAGATGGTATAAGCTCGTGTTTCGAATGACAGTAGACTGATAATTGGATTTCATTTTTCAACCTGAAACAACAATGGCACAGTTGATTGGAGATGGGGAAAAACAGATAAAGATAAAATGTATTATACCTTTTCTGTCTTTTCTCACAAGTGATGTTCACATTTACATGAATTAACTTGAACACAACATGATGGCATTAAAACCTGAAAATACTAAAGCTTCAAGCCATTTTCTTCATGTATGATTAGAAGACAATTGAAAAATAATATCCAGAAAATATCCCCATCTCTGGGTACGTTGCTCTGGATTGTCATTTCATCTAAAATGTTGGTCTTTGATCTTTTGACATGTGGATCATTCTTGGTTCTTCATGGTGTATAATAAAGTATTTCCCATATTTATTTTAATTTTTAGCTTTTCAAGCATCCATTGGAAAAAGAGGGACAGGTGGGTGGACCTATCCTGGCTCAAGAGGAGATTAAGACAATATTTGGCAGCATCCCAGACATCTATGAAGTTCATACCAGAATAAAGGTAATGTATCCCCAAACGTCTGTCTTATGCAAAAATTGGAGAAACGTTTTGTTGTTAACCTTCTGGTCTGTTGATCAGAATGATCTTGAGGAGCTCCTCACAGACTGGTCAGAAAACAGAAGCGTTGGAAACATCATTCTGAAATACGTGAGTTTCTACGTGTTTATACATGATGTATACATGCTATAAAAGTTCACACATGCTTGGTGGTCAAGGCTGGTCAAAGTCAGAGAGAAATTGATATTGGTGTCATGGTGTGTGATTCTCAAGTAAACTTTATTCTTCTGTGTGACTCTTCCTTTTTTTTCTCCTTCCTTATAGTCTAAAGAGCTGGTGAAGGCCTATCCCCCCTTTGTCAACTTTTTTGAAATGAGCAAAGAGACCATTGTTCGGTGTGAGAAACAAAAACCACGCTTTCATGCATTCCTCAAGGTATGACCTTTTATGTTTGTGTATTTTTGCCTGTCTAGTGGATTTCATGACATCATGAGCAAAAAAAAAATCTGATACATAAAAAACCCCCAACTTGATTAAAATTTGACAGATGTTTGCATCCACAGTCTTTTGACTGTTTACCACTGCAAATACTAAATCTTTCAGAGGAAGTCACATTATGTCCCCTTGCACCTGTCCATCTATGACTGACACTGACTCTCTTCAATTTTTATCAAAACTATGATCCTTCAACTTGAGTTTTAATTTTGAGAATTTGGCAGGCAACTCCCTCACTGCAACTTGCCAAATCTGGTGAGTGGGTCAGGTGGTGAGGTGAAGATTTTGTTGGTATGCATAAAAGACTTTTGCTTTCATTGTGCACTTAACATGGCGCACACCTTCAGTTTAGATTATTTCCTCTGAATGTTCACTGTCACATACCAGTAGATTTTGCACATTTCAGTAGAATCTCTTGTTGACAGTCTGACCCAAGGGGACAAGTTCACAGTGCACAACGAATGCTGAGAGGGGAAAAAGAGAGATAATGTGACCATACTCCCAGTGTCGCTCTTCACTTAATGTGCTACCCTCAGGCTTATAAACTGTGGACTCTTCAACTGAAAATTACAGTGGTTGTAGCGGGAGACCAGACTCTCATCACCAGCAATATTTCATCTCATGAATTCAAAACAGAAGCTGATGTTGGCCGTCTGCGTTGCAGTTTCACTGCAGACCTCAAACTTGCGCAAACAGTGCAAGTGGTAAGAACTGAGCTTCCAGGGAGCAACATAACAAAAGCTGGCACACTGGATGCTGTCTGAACATGATGACAAGATGACCTTAAACATCCTAATTTTACTGGCCTGTTTTCAGAATTTTTTGATCATGCCTCATAAGTCTAAAGACTTTTCGCTTAGAAAATCAGATGCTCAGAAGAAGACTCGCAGATTAATAAAACATAAACACCACCTCAGATTACCTAACTATTAAATTGTTTAGTACTTGCATAGCATTTTTCTACTCAAGCACTCAAAATGCTTTCTTACAAGCTTCAGTCACCCATTCACATACACATTGATACAAGCACTTTTTTTATGTGCCTAAGCTCTTTCAACTTAACACATATACACTCCAATAGCTGCATCAGGGGAAGATTGGGGTTCAGTCTCATGCCCAGAGATGCTCCAACAAGCTTGACTACAGACAGGAGGAGCTGGGGATTGAACCACCAACCTTCTGAATGATCAACCTGCTTCTTGAGCCAGGCCTAAATTGGCTTTCTCCAGTGCATGTAAACATATAAGCAACAGATAAAACAGACATAGCATTTATTACTTTGACATGTGTTGTGGTGTGGACATGTCCTTGTTTTTTGTGTTTTGGTTATTTATTTATTCTTTTATTTTATTAACTTTTTTAAGAATAAATTTTTCAGTTATCATGTAAATTAGGATTTAAATAACCCGCAGAAGTTTAAATCAAGCTTCAATTTTATTTGCTTCCATTATACAGATTAACCAGGCCAAGCCAGAATGTGGCAGGCAGACACTGGTGGAGCTGCTCATAAGACCAGTACAGAGACTGCCTAGCGTGGCCCTTCTTCTTAATGGTAACGCATAAATATATAACCATTTGTTAAAATAGCTTAGATGAACTTTTTGCAGCAACTCTCCTTGTCTTTTTTTTTTTTTAAATCTTTCCCCGTCTACATCTGCCACCATTTTTCTTTATGTCCTCTCTATGTTCTTTTCTGTTCATATTTCTCTGTGATTTTCATCTCTTCTCTCCCGTCTACTTCTTACGAAACTTTTTCCATTCTTTTCTCTATTCCAGACATAAAGAAACATACATCGGATGACAACCCAGACAAGATAACACTGGAGAAAGCAATTGAGTCTCTGAAAGAAGTCATGACGTGAGTTGGTGTGACCTTAACCTTGCTTTTGTGACAATTTCTCAGCTAGCGTTGTTTGATCATTTATACATTTTAACACTTTCTTGTGAATTCTCTTTTATCATAATGAGTCTTGACCATCATGCATATTCAAATTGTAGTAATTGACCATTGTTCAGTAAAGATTCGGCAATAATTGAAGCTGTTTAAATCTTGACACATCTGAAGAACTGCTGTAGATATTCTTGGAGCCATAGTTTGAAAAAACAGCTACCTTTTAATACAGGTGTATGCTTGTAAAGCATGAAATGTGCAATAGTAGAGAATAATAAAACCGCTTGTATAGTCGGTGGTTATGCTACTTAAATTAATTAGACTTGGCAGTTTAACTTTAAGGTCACACCTCTGGACTTTGATCATCTCCAGCCGGAGACGCATTCTATCCAACAGTGCACACATCTGTGATAACCAGTCTCATTTTACATTCTCATGTGGCTTTAACTGGGTCAGATGTTCTAAACAGTTGGCTATAATAATATCCCCTGAAATTAGCAGTAGTCTGCAAGGTGGAATTCAGTGGAGTGCCACCTTGTGAGCTTTTCTTAATGCTCAAAACAGCATTTTAACCAACAGCCAACTGGGTTTTTAATTTTCTGTTATGTACTCGTCCAAGAGAAATGTATTCTCTAACCATTTCGAAGTACTTCACCTCCTCATTACATTCCTAGATGTCCACCGAACGCACAATCGATCCAATACTGGCTTCCAGTGACTGTATTTGTCAGTACTCTAATATCAGCATACACTGATGCATGGATTCATAAAAGGAAAAATATGCAGCACTAACATGATTCAATACCATTTAAAGGGACCTTCAAGATGAAGGAATGATTTCATATATTGTATGACCTTTTTTCCCCCCCTAACTGGCTTAACTTTTTGTTGCAGTTGTTAGCAAATTGCCATGTTCTGTATTTGTGGTTATGATTGACTTTTATCAATAATTAAAACAGAAATAAATACTATCCTTGTAAAACTAAGACAGTTGATACATTATGAAGCAATTTTGATTTTTTTTCCAGTGGCCCACTGAATGATTTTGATTTTTTTTCTTCTTAAGCATTAATCACATTTTTTTGATGTCTCTCTCTTTAGCCACATTAATGAGGACAAAAGGAAAACTGAAGGCCAGAAGCAAATCTTTGATGTTGTTTATGAAGTTGATGGTTGTCCTGTAAGTTTGAAGATTGCTGCTGTTTACCTGTGTGTGATTGCTACACTCATTTTAGTGCAGATTGTGTACTAATTCATTTCTATGCAAAAATATTTTAAAAAATTGTGAGAGTGAACGTCTGTCTTCTAGTTTTCCTCCAGAAGGCAGGCCCTAACCACTAAACAGACCAGGCAGACTATTTCAGTCATGTGGAAGGGAACAATAGTATTTGTACTTTTGCAATTAAAATGTAGTTGCGTTTTATAATGCATCCTAATGTTTTGGGAAGTGGGTTTGTAAGAGTAATAATAATTTAGCATTTTAAAGGGACTCGAGAGAAACCAAAAATAAACCACTGGCAAGTCTAAATAACCTGTAAGTGCAAATGGGACTTTGACAGTTTGTCTTCGTCTGTGTCAGGCCTGTGATTGGCTGCCTGTCTAGGGCTACTGCCATGTAAACTATGAGCTAGTTGAGCTGTTGAACATGCCTGCCTCCCTCTTTAACATGTACTCACTATTTTTCTCTTCACCTTCTTGCTACTTATCGTGCTTTCTCTTTCCAGGCCAACCTGCTGTCCTCCCATCGTAGCCTCGTTTACCGAGTAGAAACCATTGCTCTGGGAGATCAGCCATGTGACCGTGGTGAAAATGTCACACTGTTCCTCTTCAATGACTGTCTTGAGGTGAAAATGCATCAACACACTATTAAAGTTTTGGTCATACAAAGACCCAGATTCACACTTATTAACCCCTCAACCCACTGTCAGTGTAAAGGTTACCTTTATCACACCAGATCAGAAACCTAGGCTGTATTTAAATTTACCTTTGGGCTTAGTTAAAAATGTATAAACATTTCTTCATATTTATATGTTGTTTGGTAAAGCTCTTTCGCAGCTAAATTAATAATTTCAGTTCAGGTTTATTTATATAGTACCAAATCACAATAACAGTTGCTTCAAGGCACTATGCATTGTAAGGTAAAGATCCTACAATAGTACAAAGACAACTCACAAAACCCCTATGAGCAAGTGCTTCGGCGACACTGGGAAGGAAAATATAGGAATATATTGCCACCTGTTGCTTTGGCATGTTCCTAGCAGCGCTTTCCTTCATTTTTGCGTTTACGTGTGGACGGGATTTTTTTTTTTTTTTAATTTTTTTTTTTTTTTTTAAATGAAAGCGGAAAATCTCCGTTTTCAAAAATACCCGTGTACGTGTGGACGTAGCCTCAGATGCAGACCATTACCATTTCTTATGTCTGTTTTTGGACTTATATAAATCTATTTGAGACAATAGGGTGACAGTGGAGTTTGAAATTGATACTGCAGGTGTTTCTACTAGGGGCAGCACTGGCAGCAGTCGGTATTTTTAATTGGGTAATTACTCCCTGTTAAAACACTTATTGTAAGTGTTGGTCTGCTATTGTGATTAAGAATAATCGAATGATATATTAATAGTAATCGGTGCAGAAGTTATGGCCTTTCAGCTGTAATGCGTGGTTTAAAGTTGTTACGTAGTCATAGTATGATGTAGATTCTTTGTCACACAGGGGGCCGGCTAGATATACTTTTGCTGTTAGTGGTGTTTTCCATCTGTGACTTTAGTCTTGTCATAGGGCTTACTTTTCAAAATTCTCCTAAAATATCCCTTGCACCAAAGATTGCTTATCTGGCCTTGTATGTTGAGCTGTTATGTTTCCCAACAAAAATGATAAAGATAAAAAGAAGCTTCAGAGGTTTTGGGAGAGTCTCTCAGCGTGTCTCAGAATATGCTGTGCAAGTCTCTTGCCAAATCAGGAATGTGCAGTCTATCACTGCTGACACAAAGTGTGTGTGTTAATTAGCAGTGGGTCAGCATGGGAACATGGCAGGCAATCATGAAAGAGACGAGGTTAGCGGCTGCGCTGATTCAGAAGTGTCAGTGACGCCTCCTAATGAGCCTGTCTGTGTGTGTTCAGCAGCTACACTGTGTGTGTTTTAATATATAGAATGGCCATTGTCATGGGTGGCCTCACTACTCTCTATCATCAGCAGCCATTGATTAACTCTTGACCTGGAATGTTGTGTTGTATTTTATCCTCTCCCACATCTCCCTCCTTTCTTCTCTGCCTCTTCTATCTTCCTTCTCATCTCCTAATTAACGTGACATTAATGAGTTGCATCGTTTACCTCTATGAAGGCATCATTGATTTATCGCCAAGCAATCGATAGCAGCTTCACCCACATACTGCAAAATGCACCCACACTCAAGGTATGTTACTTTGAAGTTGACTTTCACACTTACGTCCAAAGTTGGTGTCTGCAACTCTACAGATTGCGAGGAAGCGACACAAGGTGATCAATACGTTCAAGAGTCCGCTGGGACAGACGAGACCACCGCCCCCACTGAAACACATAGCATTAATGCCGCTGTCTCAGATTCGACGAGTGCTGGACTTGCAAGACACAGAAGGTAAAATTGGCAAAATACACAGTTGCATCTTAACATTTCATCTGCAAGTCATCTCAGTGTCCATATGATCAGTCGTAAGTGGAGCAGAAGATTAAATAATTTCATTTTTAAGTTGTATTTTTGAAAAATCATGTGTCATGCTTGAATGCTTTTAAATGCATGTCTTTGGTGTAGCCCCATAAAATTTTAAAGAAACTCTCAGCTTCCAACTAACTGAAAATGTTAGTTATCTTTAATTAATTAATTTAATTTATTGTTTTTCCCTCGAGCAGTCCATCTGAATAATCACAGCTTCTGTTTGTTGTTATAATCCCTTTCCTTCATTTGTTTTTAAGAGAGCACTTTGTTTACTTGCACTGCAGCTAAACAAGGACACCCTGGCTGTAGAAGTACAGAGCTAACTAACTTTAGAAGATATCCACTCAGTCTGTCTGACTTGGACGCTGAAGCCTCATTAGATGAACTTTTGAATATTCTTTTGCACAAGATGACTCTGGCTTCTGTAACCCATCTCCCCCAGCAGTCTTAAGTGTTACCATCATTTCTTCCTGCTCATCTCTTTTCAACAGTTTCTTCTCCCATCTCCTCATCCCACACACTCCCTTGATCTTCCTTTTTTCTTTCTTATATCTTTCTCTTCTCACCGCCTGATTTCTTTTTTCTTTTTTTAAACCCTCTTACTTTTGTCACTGTTAATTATCTTCCCTCTTGCACCGTCATTGTCTGTCCTGGTCTCACTCTTTCAATTCCTTCCTTCAGAGTGTGTGAATGCATTCGCCTTGGTGGTTCGCCCTCCGACTGAACAGGAGAACTTGTTGTTCAGCTTCCAACTGGCGGGAGAGGAAACGGTTAAAAGCGCCTGGCTGCGAACACTTTGCCGCCATGTAGCCAACACCATCTGCAGGGCTGATGCGGTGAGAAGCAACACACTCATACATAAAGAGAAAGAAAGCAATGGAGGACATTTTTTGCTCGAATGTATTTGTTTCATACATCTGTATATGAGAAGACAGGGCATGTTTATGACATGTGGTTAGATGTAGGAATGCATAATGCATATCGTAGTTATTGTTCATGGAAACAAAAATGAGAAATTACATAAAAGATTAACAGTTATTTAGTGCTTGTGGGAAATGGTAGAAATCAGACTTCTCTGGTGTTGATTAAGCTCATGCATTGTTGAGCTCACTGGAAGATGTTAATTTGAGATGCTGCAGTTTGCAGAGTACTCAGCAGGGGGCGATGTTGGCATCTGTTCTGCCTAAACGGCACACAGCTGCATTCCTAATGCTTTTTTCACTGGGTCAGAGCTGCAATGTGAATACCAATGAGAGGACTTCAGCTTGTTAAAAAGCCCACTGCAGGGTAAGGGAGAGAAGGAAATAAAGACTGTGTTAATCCTCCTCCACATATCAGCCTACTAGTTCGACAACAGAGTAAAATGTATCCATCTGTACTGATTACTTGAATTGCACTCTTCAGGTCATGATTTACTATACTGAGTTTGGATCTTTTTTTTTTTGTATTTTGTTGTCTTGTCTTGCAAACAGGAAGACCTTATTCAGTGTACAAACCCAGACTCACTGCAGGTCAGCACCAAGGATATGGACAGCACCTTGAGCAAAGCCTCCAGGGCCATCAAGAAAACCTCTAAAAAGGTAAAGGCCGAAGAAGTGGCTTTTAATAAGGAACCCTTCCAATATTGACCCCGAAATATTAATGATGTTAATATTTGGTGGAAGGCTCCAAAAATTGACTCAGCCGGAGGAAAGAGATGGGCAACATGAGTATAAAACCTTACATTCTTAGCAATTTGTATTTATTTATTTATTTTGGATGTTCTAAAGAGAAAGGTAGGTGTGATGGAAATAGAAAGGGCTAAGAAAAAGACAGCAGCACGATGCAAAAACTGCAACTCGTTTCACTCTCTGATGTCACACCTGCTTTTGTGGAAGATTTTCTTCTGCTGATGTCCTGCATGTTTGAACCTATAGCTCAGGGAGTTTTCTCTAGCTGCAAAGCTTCAGAAGCAGGTTGATCAGAAAGTGCCAGAAATGGTCCAATAAAAATCAAAAATCATACCTACTTCATCTCAATCACCTGTACTGGTGTTAATATGGCTGGTAGTAACCTGGAAGTCCCTTACACGTCTCCTTGCACTTCTGTAGTGTGTGCTGGATTTATTCCAGGGTGTCAAAATGGTCATTTTTCAACTTGATTTTCCTTTTTCAGAAATGGATGAAAAGCTTGTTTTGGCCAAAATAAAAAAGTTAGTTTGAAACAGAAGCTTATGTCTGCGGTCATGTTTGATTGAACTGCAAAGTAATAGCAATGTGGATACTGGAAGGCCTTCTAGAGTGATCTAAAAACAGTTGGTGTGCTGGGATCTGTCTGAACGTGTAGATGATCTTGAATGGGAGGTTGTCAGTTATTATTTTATCTGTTAGTCCAGGTTCTATATACTAATTTATGTTAGTTTTGACACAGTATATGATAATGATTTAACAAATTGAACAAAATGTAAATCAAAGATACCAAATTACCAGATGTTGACTAATTGCCTGTTCATTAGATGAGCAATGGTTTTTGTTGTGTGCACTCCTTGTCATAAGTGTTTTTGTAATTATTGAGGCCTTTGCCCTTTTTAAAAAAATGAAATGTGATAATTTAACAGACTGTACTTTGATAATGACAGCTTTTACATATTTGTACCCATGCTCTGCCTGGTACAGATGCTTCAATGCCAGAAAAACTGCACGTAGGTTTTTTTCACTGTGTTTGGAAGAAATAAATCCTCTAGTTATGCAGGTGGCTTCAGTAGTGATGGACACTAAGAGCAAATGCAAAATGAGTTACAGCTACAGATACTCAAAATGAAGTGGCTGAAAATAGAACCTGTTGAATGCAAAAATATCATGCGGCGCCTATGACAAAGATGAAGAGCAGGTGTTCTAGAAGTGTTAGAGTTTTCATGGTGCAACAAGTGGAGCCTTGTAGTGTGCTTTGTTTTTTTTTTTTTTTCTTTTACCTTTACAAATATGACAGAGACCTGCCAACAAATCAGAAATTATTGACGTTTCCTATCTGTATGTGTGTGTGTACTAGGTGACAAGAGCGTTTTCTTTCACCAAGACCCCAAAGCGTGTGATCCAGAGGGCATTCATGGCCAACAGTCCTTCAGATGAGAAAAGCCAAAGGCTGAGCTGTGAAAACCGCGTTGGCAGCAGCACCACGTTGGCTGTAAGTTCATTTATCTATATGGCATTATTAAGTCTGGTACTAGCTAACACAAGGTGTATTAATGATGTAGCCAAACTGAGATCATCTAATTTCTTGTATTATAATACTCACATTCACCGTCTGTATAACTCAGTTACTACATTTTGGTGTGTTTACGTGTGTGCTAAATGATGAAAGTGATGGATACTAAGAGGTTGTCCGTCTCTCTAACCATCTATCTGTCCACCTGTTCCTTATTGCTTTTCTGTTTTCTCCATCTCTCTCCCTTTGCTGAGAATCAGGTAATTGATCTCTCCATCAGACCCATCCAATTGGTGTCAGTTACTTTCATCTAACTTGATTAGAAAGCAGAAAAAAGGCTCGCGGTCTTAAATGTGCTGCGACTTTCTTCTCTTTGGCAAGGAAAAATAGTCCTATAATCTTCTTGCTTATCTTCCTTTTTGTGTGCGTTTCAGTGGTTAATTTAATCATATTGTATTCTAAAACCCTTGAGTGTGTAGTATTGGTACAACATTATCACATTTTTACCTTTTTGATAAGTATCTCAGGTAACATGCGTCTTTCTAATGGTATATGCATGTAAATGCAGACTGCAGAGTAATCCATGGGTAAATGCTCAAAGCTTATCGAGTCAGATTAATGGCAGTATGCAGAGCTCCTCTTGTAAACAGCAAGTGAAAAAGATTTTAGAAACTAGACAAAATATAACTTTTGCTGCTGGCTTATGAGGACTAGAGATTTATATGTCATTATTTTTTTACTATTTTTAATCAGATGGAGTTTCTTTCCTGTAACCCCATAAATTATTTTCAATAGTGGCTAAGAATAGAGTTTTTTGTGCGAGGTGTTGAATGTTATCTTTCTGACTGAATAAAAGAAAAAACAAGCAAAGCTAGTATTTGCACATTGTGTAGTTAGAAGAGATTAGGATTTAGTGGCTTCTACCAGAAGTTGGCATTGCAGATTGCAGCTAAGTGAACAATTCCTTGCCTCAAGGTCCCAGTATACCTGCCCTGCTGGTTGCTTTGCACACCGCTAGTAATGCTCTTGCACAGCTGCAATGTTCACTGTTGTGCTCCAGTATTCTCCTGAATAATGGGTGTCAGAGAAAACCTCTTCATCAGTGCTGATAAATGGAAGAAATCAAAACTGGAAGCAAAAGAATTGCTTAGGGGGATTTGTGTGAGGATTTGTCTTTTCCCCCCACAAAGTCTCATCTTTTCAAACTGTTGCAAGTTTGAAAAGCTGAATCTCTGAGCTTGTATGTCATATGTCAACCCATATGTCATTAAAATGGCAAGAAAACCGACACAAATGTATGGTAGCGTCACAGGTTATAGAAATTTAGAGGTGCTTGAGCGACAGATGGTGGATGTGGCATCAATTTGACGTCAGCTTTGTCGTACAGTGTCATTCGCACTGTACGATGCAGCATGGCAGGTATAATGGGGCCCTTGCCTTTCCAGGCATATAGGAAAACTCATCTGTTCTGTAATGTAGAACCACTATGATACTACATGGTAGGATTTGCCTTCAGATGATTATACACTAATGAAAACACAATTATTTTCCATTTCTGCCAGATCATCCACAAAGAAATCCTATAAACAGCCTTCAGTTACTGTACTGATCTGTGTTTCCTTGTGATGTTTTAGCTCGTCTGTTTTCTTGCCGTCTTCTCCCCCCCCTTCATGAAATGTAAAACCCTGCTCCGTTTGTTTCTCCCTTTTGTTATGTACTTTAGATGCCCCGCGCTGCCTCAACATTCAGTTTGAATGATTCTACCAAAAGCAGTGCCGTGGTGCAGCGCTCTAACTCTCTGGACCACCCTCCAATCAGATTCAAGATCCCTGATCGTATGCGAACCCCCTGCACTCCCCCCAAAAATCCTGTCCCCAAAATTGCTTCCGAGTTGAGCTAAGACCCCTAGCTTAATGCTTGCTCTGTCACCAGAGAATCTAAGCCCATTTTTAATGATTCTTTATTTAATCAACCAGCACTAACTCATTCCAGCCTCCCTGTTTCCTGGGAGTCGTCCTGTTTAAATCTTCCCACCTCTGCTTCTACTTCAGCTGTCCAAAACTCCACACAGCTCAACTCTAAACATTCCCGATCCAAATCTCGACAACATTTGTCCAGACCGCTGCCCTCTGTAGGATTCCAAGCAAGCTCTCCAGGTCCTCAACCTTTTAATGCCAAACGTAGGGTCTTTCCTGAGTCATGCAGAAATCCTCAAGTTCCCATGGATCCACAGAAGGCTGTTGTGACCAGTCCTCGCAAAGAGACTCTGCTTTAAATGATCGCTGAGCTTTGTCCTGGAGTTTGACGTGAGCAGACATTATTGTTGTCCACTTTCAGTCTCGGGTGCACCAATTCATTTTCCATTTTAAACTAATCCTCATTAAACTGTCTTGGCACATTTGCCTTTTTAATATCAGAGTATCACTGGTGCATTTCTAGTCCCAAATCAACTCCTTAGAAGCTGAGACCCTGCAAAATGAAAAATACAAATAAAAGATTTGCTCCACAGCCCAAGTCGGATCGACACAGACGAGATTCCATCAGTTTGCGTATAATGCTTCTCTCCACTGGAGATTGGTATACGTGTAAAGGGTGGAGATTTTAAGGGTTGATTTGGAGTAATTTTTCTGAAGAATGTCTTAGATCACGGAGTGGTGGTGGATGGGAATATTAACCAGGTGGTGTACAGTGTACATGTTAGTAATGAGCAGGGGTCACGAAGAGCTGGGACTGTCATTCCAGATTGATACCTCTTATTTTGGGGGAGAGATTTAGATGTGAAGTCTTGATTTCACAAACAGATAGTTTCATTTTGCATTGAGCCAACTCATGAATATTAAAAAGGAATGATTCAGTTACCGTTACAACTATAAGACAGGATGATTTGTCTCTTATCGACCTTTGTTTTGATCAAAGCCATTCTTTTCAGTGCCACTTGAAGAAAATATCAAGAATAAAAATCAAAATGTCAAAGTCTTTAGTTTTTGTATGCAGTGAGCTTTGTGTATTTGGGCTAGTTTACACACAAACAGCACACTAAAATTAAAATGTCAATGTATTCACAATGTCAGTGTGACTTTTTATGTGAGCTTTAATGTTTAGTGGCAGGTCAACTGTTATCTGTAATACATTTTAATCACATGTGATGCCTGAGTCACTAGGCACACAAGGCCTCATATTAGCTGAAGCCATTTAAAGGAGCAGTGTGAAGGATTTTTGTGGCATTGAGGTTGCAGACACTCGTGGTGTTGCCCCTACCTGATGCCCCTTTTTTCTGGCACATATTCTACAGAACTCGATTAAAATGCACCGTTTCGTCTCTGGTTTGTGTTTGTGCTTAGTTTTGGGTTTGTGTTTTTTTTACATGGGCATTTTGCTCAGTCACAAATGGTCAGATGGGAAAGAATTGCAAATGAAGTGAGAATTGCACTGATGCAAAATGAGAATTCCTTGATAATGATGCCAGCTTTTTATAGAAAGTGTTGTTTTGATTAGGTGCACTTACAAAAAACACTTACACCCATCGCATCTTAAATGCAGGCATCATGTAGATAATGATACATGTGTGGCAACATTCCTGCATAGGCAACCCAAAAGCAATGAGCAGGGTTTTTGTTTTTCCTTGAATCTGCCATCATTGTTTTGCTAGAGCTGAAATGAGAAACTATAGATACAATACAATAGTAGCTGTTGTCAAGTGTATTCAAGAAGTGTCTCCTCTGGATCAAGAAGAAACAACTTTATCGACAAAGAAAGCAAAATTTAGACACATTTGTACCTTAACAGAAAGCTTCAAATACTTACGTTTTCACAGGGAAAACGGACTTATGGGCTTGAAATATTTTTGAATTCGTTGTTTTGGTTCTCACCATTATCATACTTCTTGTAGTGATCAAACTAAAACTTGAAGAAGTCTTGATTCTTGAAACTTCAAATGCCCTCACAGATTGGGGGAACAAAAAAGCTTCTGTATCACTGTTATGATGAACTCTGCTTAATTTATTCCAATGAGACACATCTATGCAAACTGTAATGTTTAGAGTAAAGATGCCTTTGTATGACACTGGCGCTATATCACTGTAACTAGGCATAAATCTGCTGATGTGCATTTTCACACAGGGTATTTGGAAAAAACTGTGGCTCTGATGAAATGCTTGTATAGAGCACTTGCCATGTGTGTAAAAGCCAGGTGGAAAGCTGCTGAAGTGTGATTGCATTGGCAAAGGCTGCACATCTCAATTAGTTTGGTGCCAGGCTTGGACTGAAAGACATAGAGACTTGAGTAACAATGTTTGTCTCTTTGCATACAGTAATTAAAATGAGGCTGCACCACATAAACTAAACTTTGTACTTGGTGCATACGTGTACGCACTGACTCACACTACCAGTCTTAACTCTGAGTCAAGCTTGAGTATACAATGTCTTTAGAAAGTATTTTAAGTACATTTTTGCAGGCGTTGTTTAAATTAAAATTGATTTAAAAGTTGTTAAATACCAGTGTTGATCACCAGTCTACATCCAGCAAAATGTATATGACTCTATGAAAAGCAATGCATTTTGCAACAAAGAGAAATTGCTGTAAGAACAACAATTTTAGAAGAAACACACTCTGTCCGGTGCACACATTAAACAGAATATATGTGAAACGATGAGGAAAAATAAGATGATTCTCTAGTAAAATGTTTGAGGACTCCAGCACAGACAAGTCTACATCACCTGGCCGTATACCATCTATCAGTGATTACCTCCGTAAGAGATTCTACGAAGTACTTGCTTGGGATTCTGCATACTTAATGTGAATGATAAATTTAGGAATTTACAATATTGTTTTCAAACTGTTGCTGTGGATTAATGGGCAAACATAGAAATTATATCAACTTCATTATATCAGATTAAGAACTATGCATTCAAAAACTGAAAGACCCTGAATATTTTCTGAATGCAAAGATAACACAAGTAAACACAAAATGCAGTTTATAAATAAAGGTGTTTATTAAATATTTATTATATATTAAATGAGGGGAAAAAATCCAAGCCTGTATGGCCTGTGTGGAAAAAGTGATTGCCCCCTAAACCTAATAACGGAAGTTTGATAACTGATGATGATTCTTTTAGCACTGTGGAGCAATTTTGGCTCACTCATCTTTGCATTGTTGGAGTTCTGCCACATTGGATGGTTTTTGAGCACGAACTGCCTTTTTAAGGTCATGTCACAGCATCTCAATCGGATTCGGGACAGGATTTTGACTAGGCCACTCCAAACTCTTCAATTTGTTTTTCTTAAGCCATTCAGGGGTGGACTTGCTGGTGTTTTTCGGATCATTGACCTGCTGCAGGACCCAAGTGCGCTTTCAGCTTAAAGTCATGAACAGATGGCTGGATACTCTTGTTCTCAATGTTTTGGTAGACAGCAGATTTCATGGTTTCATTTACCACAGCAAGTCTTCAAGGTCCAAACAACCCCAGACCATCAAACTACCACAGTCACCATGTTTTATGGTTTGTATGATGTTCTGTGTCTGAAATGCTTGACCTCTTGGATGATGACTCATCCAAGAGGTCATGAGTGCTAAACCTGGGAAGGTCTCAGTTACTTTGTTAGTTTGTTCCTGAATCTTCTGGGATTGTGACATGATGTCTGGCTTTTGATGATCTTTTGGTCTTCTCCACTTTGTCAGGCAGGTCTGATTTAAGTGATTTCTTGATTGACAACAGGTGTGGCAGTAATCAGGCATTTGGGTGGCTAGAGAAGTTGAACTCAGCTTTCCAAAGACGTGATACACCACAGTCAACTTTTCACACAGGGCAGTGTAGGTTTGGATTTTTCCCCCTTAATAATAAACACTTTCATTTAGAAACTGCATTTTGTGTTTACTTCTGTTACCTTTGTCTAATATTTGGATTTGTTTGATCTGAAACATTTAAGTGTGTCAAACATACAAACTGTACATGTAAGCTGATTTAATTATCCAAATTGCAATTCCTGCAATATTTTCAGTTTATTAGAGCTTATTGCTTTGTTTATGTCAGCTTTCAGTGATTATGTAGTGATTTCATTGTACACTTGTTACAATGAGTGTAGAGTGATTGTAATCAGGAAAACAAATGCAAGCAGTCAGATAATCAACAGATTATCTAAATTACCTTAGTGGGAGGTGAAACATTAAATTGCCATTTAATTGTGGGAAAGGTTAAATGTCCAATTGATACAGATCTTCATTCATATTTATGAGTACCCAAATACAAAGTCTAATAATAAACATTTCAAACTGCCTTCTCAAACCTGCAAGAATTGATTTCTTCATATTTTAATAAAAACTAAGGTGATTACCACCTCTTGCAGAGCTAATAATCATATTGAAAGCACCGTGGAGGCTACTTGGGCAGTTGAAAAACCCAGTTACTAATAACTGCTTGCCCTTGCCTTTCTTGTCTTTTAGTTTAATTGGTTAGATTGTTGTTGTCAAGATGCTTCTGGTCTTGTGGTTAGACACTTCACTCCCATCCTCTTGGACTGCATCTGGGGATGGTCCTTGTTCTGCGCTGAAAATCAACTGCAGTTTGGAGATTCAAGGATTTCCTGAAGTCATAGATCAACAGACTCGAGGGCTATTTTATGTTTTTTATTTTCCCTTCTGTTGACTTCTGTACTGTGGGATGTGTTTTTGAAACTGAAGAAGTCACCTCCTGCCTACGATTAGACTGGATTTAATGCACTTGCTCACTGGCTTCACTTTTCAGGTCCTTTAACGCCTTTTGTGGTTTGTTTGTTTGTTTTTAAATGGACAGTAAGGGCAAGTGCAATATTTTGTCATCTTTCCCCCTCACCCCCAACAGCCAGTTCTGGCAGATGACTTGTCCCTCTTTGAGTCTAGTTCTGCCAAACACTCTTCCTTTCTGCTCTTGCCGACAGATCGGTTCTGTTTCTAATATTTTAGCATTTTCTTCATATAGAGCACCTTGAGGTGTCTGCTGTTAAGATACTATATAAATATGGTTGACTGTGTACAAACACATAATAGGTAAAACTGCCATTCTCATATTCCCTTGCTGAAACCTTTTTTTCCAAGTTGCACGAAATACCTCCACCCATATTAGATTTTTCTTGTAGCAGATCCAGTTTCCTATATGATAACAAGCTCAGTTACAAACATAAATATAGAAAGTAGTGTTTCAAGAAACCTGAATCACTCTTTAACGGGACAGTTGGGTATTAACATATAATTAACTATAAGTACTTTTTCTTCCATGTTTGTCATTTTCTTTTAAAAAATAAATAAATAAATCTGTCTTCCATTTACAGGCACACCACTCGCCCTCCATGGTCCATCTGCCTACCATGTTTGAGAGGAAGTATCACACATTCAGTCGTTCAACCACCCACCTCTTCTGAAATGCTTCTGTTTGAAGGCACCAGCAGGAGTCATTACTAGCCTTTTCCACCTCGTTTGCCTTGACTGACACTAACAGCAAGATTTGACCACATAGGTCGATTTGCATAAAGTTAAAGCTACCTGTAAAGTACGACAAACTTATATTTGTCCAAACCGGTGCTTCAGGCTTACACAGATTTAGCCTATCCAGAAGAAATGGCTTTAAGCCATCATAATGCACTGAATGTAGGGACTTACTGATATTTGCCAGTATCAGAACTGTCCTGCAGCTGTCTGTGGCTTCCTATCTGAAATATGAGCAGCAGTGGGGGCAAACTGGTCATAATTTTTATGCTTTATCCAGCTAATATTAGTCATTTGCTGCGAACTTCCAGGACTTCCTTTCTTTTTCCAAACTCACAATGTTGGAATTAAGACTGCATCACTAGGGCCTAACTGGAACGGTACTGTGCCATGTTTGTGTTTGATAGCCACTGCTTTGGTCAAGTTTGACTTAATTTTTAAAAAAATGAAGGACAAATTTTTAGTTTTCTGTGTTTTCTGTGTGTGTTTGTGTACTAGTTACATTTTCAGTGTTTC